GTTTGCCCTGAGAGAAGAAAGGTGATTTCAAGGTTGATTGGTAAAACTAAACTATCCTTAACAACAATTTAAAAAGAACTGCATGTTGTTATTTATTGCTTCAGCTCAGCATTTAGAGGCAATAAAAGTTATAGGAATTACAGCCTATGAGGGAAAAGCAGTTTAATGGTAAGGTTTGTAGCCTGTGAACTTTTAAAGTACTCAGGGCAATGACATGTAACTGTGCTTTATAACCTGGACATTGAGGACAGATCTTCTCAGTGTGTGGACAGGTCATGCCTCCTGTGGGCAAAATACATGTTTTTTATTGCTACAACCAACAACTAAGCATTTCACTGGCAACCAAACTGAGACTCTGGCGTAACTCTGTTCATGGAATTCAATACATGTTAATACAAATTGTGGAAATAAAATTGTTTGGTGTCGATAATATTTGGGTTAGGGTTAGAGCATGAGTTTATGACATTTATTATCATTATCATACATACAATATTACAATCACATTGTTACCAGGAGGTAAAGTGGTCATTGTTGTTTGTCTGTTGTCTGTGTGCAACATAACTCAAAACAGTTATGGGAGCATTTGGACAACACTTCGAAGTAATGGTGATTTCTCAGTGAACAATTAATTAAATTTTAGATGTGAGCTGAGTCACTCAACTGGATATGACTGCTTATTCGAGTTTAGAATGTACAGTAATATAAAGTGTTTGCTCCAAAATTGTAGATATACATAAGCTGGTGTACCAAACTTTCAACTACAAAAGTATCACCATCTGACTAGTTCCTCTCTCTCAAAACCGTTACAATCTCTACATTCTCTAATGCCATTCCATAAACATAGTATGTATTTATTTATTTATTGTCTGTTATGTAAACAGGATGGCCCAGAAACTTTAGTCAAGGAAGTCCTGGCCCCAGAGCCGTACTAAGATGTTCTTGTATTTTTAACACAACAGTCAATTTTCAAATTATCGTTCATGTTTCCACAATTGACCTCACACATCCATTAAATCCACAAGGACTAAACAGCCCTTGAGACACCACTTTTGTGTGCCATTTCTCGTGTATATTTTCCATAATTATCTTAACATTAATCCGCTTGATATGACCTACAAGCCAAACGGTGACATTTTCACACCTTTCCATTTATAGCGGTAAGATTGCGTTTGTTAATTTGTGAGGGATTTGGCCGCCCTCCAAACCGTAAGCGGTAAAAGCAGAGGTCTGAAAGGGTGGCTGTCCTGTGGTGAAGGTGACACTGGATGGTTTAAGTTACAGCTTCACCTTGTTAAGAATTCACAAGCGCTGGGAGAGGAACCTGGAGGTGAATCAGAACCAAGGACAAACCGGGCGTCCATCAATAGCAAGTTGTTTGAGTTTTTACGACTTTGTTTGTGCACCAACCTTTAAAAACATCCCAAATCCCACAACATATTCATTATAAAACCTTAAGTAACAGTTTAACAATTTGTGAGAACGATTGAGAGCACCTCTTATTGTACCTGACCATTAAAATAGGGGCTAATTCCCTATATTGGGGTGCCCAAACCTTTTTCTCGAATGCCAAAATGCATAAGTATAAGATCACTATGTATTAAAAAAGCAAACCAAACTTAAATAGACATCGGCAGTATTGAGGATAATTGTTTGTGGGTTCAAATTGTTATTTAGGCTGCACTTTTACACCAAAATATCCACATTTTTCATAGGAAGTTGTTTGAAGCTCATATTTTGCATCTATGGCTAGTTTTATGTATGTTTTGTACAATATCATGGAGGAACATTATGACCAAATGTCATAGCAATAATTACCATGATGATTGATTTTCTTAGCAAATTTAAACCAAAAGAGTCCAAAGGCTTATTGGGTCATGATATGAGATATTTGATAGTAATGGCTATAAACATCAAAACTTGCGAGTCCAGACTCACATTATAGTGCCTTAAGTAGTTATAGACACTCATACCGTCCAGGGGTATGGCTCAGTGACCCACTGAAATCTGAATCTCTAGATGGCATTTTGGAGAGTTTCCCAGAGTCCTTTGGGGAAATCCTGAGCTCTGACCATTTAATCTCTCTAGTCTTAAATACCTATATCTAAGAACTCACTCGCACAATCTACATCCATCTATTAGAGACTATTTTTGGGATCTGTGGATAATGCTGTGAGTCTGATATTGTTGATTGTTGGCCTTTTGTGGCTGTGTCCTTGGGCAAGACACTAGCTATACTACTTACTAATGGAGACATGTGCAATAATAACAATATACCTTCATTTGTATTAATTGGCTATGCAATACTAGCACTGGCACAACGAGTAAATGGCTAAAAGATGGTGACTTTTTAAAGCTTATGTCTATATGTATTCTAGCATGAAATCCAGGATATTTTAACTAATAATATTGTCTTGTAATAGTAAAATGAATAAATCAGGCCGCTACATTCTGTCTTTATCTTACGAGAAAAAAATATGCTTGCTTGTGCATACGTCTAAGATGAGGGCTCGCCCTTATCTTAGACGTGTGAGGGCGCTCCTCTCTTTTACACTTTTTCTGGCTGATATAAATGTGCGATAAAAAACACACATGCATTATTTTTATTTATATTGTTTACTTGGTTGGGACAGTGCATGTTAATGAGCACATCACTCCGGATTGTAGCCATGGGATAATTTGCATCCGTTGTCCCACATTGGCACTCACAAACACACACCCATTCACCCTGAACTACAGTTTTTAGAGGTAGAGGAAACCGGAGTACCTGAAGGAAACCTACACAGACATGGGGAGAACATGAAAACTCCACTCAAAAAGGCCCTGCTCCGACCGGAATTCAAACCCAGGACATTTTTGCTGAGAAACGAGAGTGCTATCCACTCAACCACCGTGTTGTGATATCACTAAACTCTCTTGAGACATATAACGAGGTAAATTGATTTTTATAACATGTTTCATTTTTCTGTTGTTTGAAAGATAGCTATCCCAGCTTTAGCTTTAAATGCAAGATTAAAACAACAGTGAAACACACACGTGTCTAAAATAATGGAAAGACAATGAGTTATTTAGCATAATGTGCTTGTGACTTGGGCTTTCAAATTTCTAATTTCCTGCCTCAACAAATGTACTGTACAATGTACACTAACTTCTAGATATCACCTGAATTCCTTTGCTATGTTTATGTAGACTGTACCCTCTCCAACTTCTTGTTCCACATTTATGCCAGTACTATGTCTCACTAGGGCCTTTAGGGACTTCGTTCTCACTGACACACACAGACAGACACACACACACACACGCACACACACGCACACACACCTCGTCCACCCAAGGGCTTGCGCCAACCCAAGAAACCAATTTTCAATTTACAGTGTAGAGGGAAAACTCTGTGCCCCCAGCAAGAGCTATCTCCCACTGCAATCTGGAGAGGGAGAGGCTTGACAGCAGCTGACTTTTGTGTATTAAAGCGCTGATGGGCCACTGCAAAACTGATACGGACTGATATGTGGGGGGGGAAATTGGCGAGAGAACACCCCAGCTGAGCGAAAGGTGATGGGTGATTAAATATTAATATTGGCTTATGTTGATATGATAGAGCCTCAAGCTAAAACCTGCAGTCCAGTGTTTTTTTTTAAATTCCTGGCAGTGCTTACCTGCCTCTGCTCTCTCACCGGGGTTTGGTGTCTAAGCCGATAAACAATCCCACCGGTTTGAGGTTTGGTGAAGGGATCTAAGAGGGATATTGGAGCAGAGCCGAGCCCTGACGAGGCAATCCGAGACGGGACAAAGTTGGCAGAATGAGCTCCATTTGGTCCCTTGCTTCCCAGGCCTGGTAGCTTGGATTAAACACAATATCTATGTGTGTTTTACATGTAGGTGTAGCACTAGGCTTAGTCAAATATCAATATCTAGCTGTTATTAGTTTGACTTGAGCAAAATGATAAAGTGTACTTTGACTTTTGTTGCAGGAGTTTTCAAATATTAAAGACACTCAAAGTACAGTAACTTGGATGGATGTTTCACCGAATAAACTAATTATCCTAATTATCCTACACATTCTGTGTACTTTGGAGCGGTTTTGGCCAGTGCAATAGATGGATGGGATTTAGGACTAACCCTTTGAGTGCCAAAGAATATCTAAATGAGCGCCTGAATTCAGGACACTTTTCGTACCAGGACATGGCTTCCTTCAAACATTTCCCTACATTTACCTGATGTTTGTTTCTCAAACTTCTGAAAAAAAAAAAACTCTTACTATTATTGCAAAGGAAGGTTTCTCACCCATCATCTGTACTTCTTAACAGGTTTTCCCAACGTTTCGGACGTAATCCCTCCAAGCTTCCTCCAAAAATTGTACTATTATTATTGTTCAAAAGTTTCTAGCAATTTCAAATTTGTAGCTAATAAATGATTTGGGCTCATTGCATGTAAAGTGACACATGCAAACAGTTTGTTTTTCCTAATTTTGATCAACAGTTTTTACAAGCTGTGAGCTAATTATCAACATTTTAACTAATCAAGGCTTGATATATAGCTCACTTTGTGTGTAATGACCCTGTCAAATATTATTTTGACCTTATAAGTTTAATTATAGACGTAAATGCACTAGATATCTGACTTTCACCTGCATTCTATCACTAAACTGGTTGACATTTATTCAGTTAGTTGCAAGTAATTAATTGAATGTTACAGCCATCAAAAGTTATATTATTAATTCAAAGAGTTACCAAAGCCCCACAAAATCAAGAACCTGGGACCCAATTTGTAAGTTTTTCATAAAAATCTTTTATCAATAGCTCAACTGCACTCCGATGGGTTAACAAAGGGATATTGACAGACCTAAATACATACGTCCATTGGGACCACATGACCTTTCTGTTTTGTGATGGGCTTGCAAACACGCCTTTCACATTATGCTGCAGACGCTGGGATTTCAAGCACCTGTATGAACTCTGGATATAGGTCGATACAGCTCCATCACAGGGGTAGCCAGTACTTACATGTTGTGGAGCACACACCAGCCGCAGTGGGGGTCCCCAGAGCCCAGGCACTCACTGCAAGTGGAGTACTGTCCGCACGCCTCCACTGGTACTCTGGACAACTGCAAAGACAAGAAAAATACATATTGAGTGTGATAGTACTTCAAGATAAGAAGCACTGAATAAAGTGGTGATGACAGTTTCCTCAAAAGTTAGCAAAAGTGTTATCTAAATCCAAATGAAAAACTGTGGATGAATATAATTACAGGAAAATCTTAGAAGAAAAGCTGTTGGAGATAACTGACAGATGAGTTGTTTTTCTCTAAACATTAATTAAACCACACAATAGAATGGTTTGAATTAATCACCTATTTTTGTGCTAGAACGGCCCAGTCAAAGTCCAGACTTGATTCTGAAAATATGTGGAAAGACCTAAAAACTGCTGTTCACAAACATTCTCCATCTAATTTGAGTTGTTTTGTAAAAAAAATATATCAGTATCTAGATAAGAATAATGTGTGAATACTTTTGCAAGCCTTTTCTCTTTTTTCGACAATGTCATGTATTATTTCTCTTTCACTTTACAACAAAGTCTTTGTGTTAGTAAACATGACACACTGTGCAAAAGCTGTACTGACAGTCTCAAGCGTCTGGAGGTGCTTTTCAACTTGGATTTAAAGAAGACTATTTGCCATTTATATAAATCTTTAATATTGGATTCACATCATTCAATCAATATTGCAAAATAACAACAAAATAGGTCCAAATGTTCTGATAAAGTATGTTTGTCTTGGGACCGAAGCGTCCAGAGCTGCCTGCACCAAATGGCTCCATATGGGAACAGCCACCAGGGACAGCGGTGCATTTATGATGATGTATCACCCTGCCAACTCAGACTGGCAGTGACGGCCACTGATTGGCACGGGCCCTTTGTGACCAGGCACAGGGGCAGAGGCAGATTACACTAAAAATAAAAGAGCGGTTCAAAAGGCACTACACAAAAGTTGAAGCATCGTTTAAATCTATTTGCAGCAGTACAGACCCATTCATGACTTTCAAATTACATGCTCTTTAATTATTTACTGTGAAATGTTGGATAAAAGTAACAAAAGCAAATTTACAAAAGCAAATTTGTGTTCTATAAATATGAAATGGGGAAAAAAGAATAAAACATGAGTCCAAATGCTGTGTTGACAAGAACTACAGTGCTAATGGTTGGTGTATTGTTTGGACCCATGTCAGCTTTTCAGAATGGGGGCGATAGTGCATCCGGTGCAAGAGCCCAAACTCTTAAAAAGTTAATTTAATTCTGTAATTCAGATTAAAATCTGAATCAAATATATGACACACTACATGCAAAGTGACAGATTCCAAGCTTTTGTTTGATATAATTTTTGATGAGGTTTTCAAAGGTTTTTATATAGGGTTTTTACAAGCTGTGAGCCAATCATCAACAACAAAACAAATAAAAGCAACATATGTTTCACATTACGTGTAATAAATCTGACATATTAGTTTCACACCTTTTTCACCTGACATGCAAACATCAGCTCATTAACTGTTTGGTTTAATCATAGTTCAAGTTACTGCTACATTAGTTTGGAGTGTTCACCCTGAACATACCTCATTAAAAAGACAAGGCTGAAAGGCAAATTAAATGCAGATTTTCAAAAAGTTTAGCTAAAAGCAAAACTGAAGCTCTTTCAAATCTAATTAATTATTATCTTTCCAGTGTAAATCTACCGGTTCCCTGCTCTGGTCGCCATGGACACAGCGTGGTGCTTTAGAAGGAGGCGGTGGCACTTTTGATTAATGAGGCTTGTGCTCTGGATGACCGCTGTCACTCAGGCTGTTCAGAGCTGACAGGCGAGACGCAAAGGGGACGAAGAGGAGACAGGGCCATATGTGGCTCATACCCTGGTCCATGCAACTATTGTTCTGTACACAGACCACATTCATTTCCATAATGACTGACTTTAAAATATATGTATCATTTTTGACTCATGACATTGGGCTTTTATTGGATGTTTTTATTCAACAGTCGTATTTAACTTTCGTTTTATGTCACAATAGAATATATAATCAAGTCAAAACCAAAGTCAGTTTGCACTATACAGGCCCATTTAATTTGGGAATAACAGTTAGCTAGCTGAAAAAATAAACTGTTCATACTTTATATCTACTATATAATAGGCAGGCAACCTCAGAGCTGTACTCTTTGTGCAGTTCCAATTTAAGGAATCAGATGTTGCTTTTAATTGTGTTGTGACCTTTGTTTAGAATGAGTTCACACTGAGATGCATTGTTAGTTCCACCATTTGTCCTCAATCTGCAAAAATCCACAAGAGCCAAGCGACCAGACTGAACTGTGCATACATTGGTGTCATATCAGAGCGTTTTGTCATTTAACAGTTCAACGGAGGCTGAAAACAAAACATGGAAGCACCTTCACATGTGCACGTATAAGAAAATACTAAAGATTTCACAAGTACAAAGGCAGACGCACTGATTCATATCCAAAAGTTAAAGTGCCACAACTTTCTTTCTGCTTGTATTAGTTTGCAAACAGCTGTCAATCTTCACAATAAATAGGGGACGTTTTACACCAAAAACACAGATTTTAATACAATAATTATTTAATGCAGGTGTGGCAGAAGTCCAGAAATGGTTTGCTAAATATGAGAGTAAACCCATGTACCATTGCATAACAATAATACATCTCTATGGAAACAAAAAGGTGAAAGATCCTACACACATGGATCCTCCAAGAACACCCAGGAAGAAGGATCCATCACGTCTTTGTTTCCATGGAGATGCCTTTAAATGTTGAAATGAACATTTCTGGTGCACACTGGGGTAGTCTTGCACAGGTTTTCCAAAGTGGTTTTACTGCAAATGGCAAATACATTCTTGTATCTTGTATCTGTATCTTGTAATTATATTATTAATATCTTTTAAATTTGAGACTACATTTCCTCAATTAAATTGACTGAAAACATATCAAATGTGTTGTTGTCCATGGGGCTTTTCTTTCAGTCAAAAGAATACAATACATCAATATATCATACAGTATGAAGTAGCAACACTTTTTTCAGTATTGCAGCACACACTAACTTAGGTGACTGGCTGACGGAAAGCAGTTGGTTTCCCCAAAGGACACTTGAAACAACAGTAATCTGTTCTGAGCCCAGAGCTAGAATCAGTGATAAAAGTGAGATGTATCAGGGGTGTTCCGTTGAAGAACTGGTTTCTGCAGTGGTTTATGTCAGTTATTTTTCTGCAATGTCAGGTTTGGCTTTAGCAGATTTATCACATGTCAGGTGTACAGTCTTTGAAGTCTTACAGGAGAACCACCATATCCTCCAATTGTCTCAACTGCACTGCCATCTCTAATTGCTAAAACTATTCTTAACATCAGAATTACAAAAAAACACAAACAAGAAGGACTAACCGAGGGCTGACATGGACTACACATAATCCCAATCTGACATGGGGACAGAAGTCTCATGATTTGTCAGTTGTGAGGGGTCATATCTGGATTTACAAAGATATCATATAAGACGAAAACAACCCAGGATGGCAGGGAAGTAAACATAATCTTTTCTGGTAACTGTCAGCCTTTCCAATCACAGTTTAGAGGTAATTCCTGGAACAATCTTCACAAAACAAAATTATAAAAAAAAAATCAGTGCATATCAGCAATGGTCTAATATTTTTACCTAGTTTTTTGTGTAAATCATCATAAAGCTGTTGGTTATTTCAATGGCTTTGTTAAGTCCTCTGAGATGACTGTTGTTGTGATGGCTATACAAAAAGAAATTGGATTGTATTGTATTGTATTTTTTGATTCATTTAAGAATTGAATCAAAAGGAAAATAAGGAAAAAAAATCTTTTTGACGTTTTCTTTTTAAAAATGTTTATTATTTCACATGGAGCTGCAGCAGCACTGTGCCTTCCTTTATACAGTCTATGATAAAACCCTAAACGTTAATAACATACTCTGTCACTCAAACGCTCAGAAGTGCACATGACCAATCATCTTTCCAACGCGCGCACACTTTAACTTTTGCCCTCTCTTTCTTGGTGGTTAAAAGATCCAACTGCATCCCTTGTCTCCCCCATTCATTCCACACCATGTCCCCCACGGCCTCAGCATCCCCCCTATAGCCTCCCTATCATATCAGCGGGAATAAATACAAAGAATAGGAGAGTGGCATTTACGACTCCAGGTGAGCAAATGACAGCCATAATGGGCGGCACTCTCCCCTCCGCGCACAATGGGACGAGATGAGAGCCGGGCCGATATAATTATGCTTTTAAAAGACTGAGATCACACAAGTACTTGATGCTTTAATGTCTGGAGATAGAGACGCCTGCTCAGAAGATACAGTGTGAAAATGAGTCCTGGTGACTTGTATTGTGAGGATGTGTTTTATCTGCAGGAGATGCGGGTCAAACTCATGTGGAGAGAGTGGTGGATTACGGTGGGAGCTGCTGATTTCAATGGACTGATTTTACTGAGGACTAGAAGGAGGAGGCAAAGAACAAGCTGAAATATATTAAAATGCAAAATATTATGTACATATGATATTGATGAGTGCAGCAAATTTGTTTAGTTAGATAACGTCAGATGTTTTCCCCTTTTTTTTCAAATTCATCTATGCATATTGAAGACAAAATTAATCACTATGTCCAGCTTTGATACACTAAACGGTGAATAGGAGCAGGAAGAAAACGCAAGTTCTTTTTAACTCAATGATAAACAATTTGATTAGCCATCAGAACATACCAAATTTAGTGCTTTACGAGATTCATATAGATTGTAACCTACGATATCACTAGAGAATTGTTTCAGGAAAGCTACTTGTATTTAAGATATTCTTAAAGAACATAAACCATGGAAATAAGCACTAACTAGAGTGTTTCAAATGTTGTTGTATTATTTATTCTATTTCATGAAAGTACATGTATTTTGTACGGTATTCCAGAAAAGAGATAAACAAGTTGGACCCCCAACCACTGTATGATGCTTTCATGAATAATAAATCATTTCCAGGGTTTTTCTTGAATGTGATTACTATTGAACTTACTAAAGACACATTTTATCCTCTTATTCAGGGT